AATATGGATTGTAAGGAAGCCCAATGAGACACAAGAGAAAGCTGAAAACCAATACAAATAAACCAAAAAAAAAAAAAAAAAAAATTCAGAAGATGAAAGACCAGACAGTCGTATTTTTTAAAAAGCAACCAATAGAACTTTCCGAAATGAAAAATTCACTTAAAGAATTTCAAAACACAAAGTTTTAACAACATACTCGATCAAGCAGAAAAAATAATTTCAGAGCTTGAAGACTGGTCTTTTGAATTAACCCAGTGAGAAAAAAAATTTTTTTAAATGAACAAAGTATTCAAGAAATATGGGATACATAAAGCAACCAAACCTGTAACTTATAGGCAGTCCTGAGGCAGAAAAAAAAAAGCAAGAAGTTTGGAAAGCATATTTGAAGCAATAATTCAGGAAAATTTCCCTCATCTCGCTACAGAGACAGATACCCAGATACAAAAAAATCCAGATAACTGGGAGATAACTATATAAGACAAACCTCACAAAAGCATATAGTGGCCAGACTACCCAAGGTCAACATAAGAGAACAAATCTTAAAGGCAGCTAGAGAGAAGTGTCAAACCACCTATAAAGAAAATCCCATCAGGCTTCTCAGCAGAAACCATACAAGCTGGAAGAGACTGGGGGTCTATTTTTCGCCTTTTAAAATAATAAAAAAAAAACTGTCAGCCAAGAATTCCATATCCTGCCAAACCAAGCTTCATAAATGATGAATAAATGATATAAAGTCTTTCCCAGACAAGCTTCCTTCTCAGCCAAAGAACAGTGGCTGCCCTGCTCCCATCCAACTGTTTCAGCTGCCAGCTGGAGCCCTTCTGAGAGCCGCGCTGACAGGCCGGTGATCAACCCTGGGGTTCCCACCACCTGCGTGTTCTGCCACAACTCAGCTGTTGCTGCCCGAGGATTCCCATACAGAGTCAAGCAGGGCATTTACAGACTCCTGGCTTGGAGGTTTGCTCGTCCAGTCCGCTGCCTCCAGCTTTGTACCCCTTTACCATGAAGGTACATTAGTAACTTTCTCTTCCTTTAACACACTGCATTCTCATGCATCTTGTACTTTCGTAAATGTTGTGTTCTTATTCCTAGGGCACTTTTCTCCGTCCTCTACCTATTGAAAAACTCCTTATTTTTGACAAGCAAATCAAAGGGAATCCATCACCACTAGACCAGACCTATAATAAATGCTCAAAGGAGTTCAAAACACAGAAATGAAAGGAGGACACCAGCATAAAAGCACATGCAAGCAGAGAGCTCACAGATCCTATAACTACACAATTAAGTCTCCAGGGCAGCTATCTACAACACGATGACAGGAAGAAAGCCTCACATTTCAATATTAACCTTGAACAGAAATGCCTTAAATGCTCCACTTAAAAGATATAGAGTGGCTGGGCATGGTGGCTGATGCCTGTAATCCTAACACTTTGGGAGCCCGAGGCAGGTAAACTGCCTGAGCTCAGGAGTTCAAGACCAGCCTGGGCAACACAGTGAAACCCTGTCTCTACAAAAATACAAAAAATTAGCCAGTCATGGCCGCATGCACCTGTAGTCCTAGCCACTCAAGAGGCTGAGGCAGGAGAACTGCTTGAACCTGGGAGGCGGAGGTTGCAATGAGCTGAGATTGCACCACTGCACTCCAGCCTGGGTGACAGAGACTCCATCTCTAAAAAACAAAAGATATAGAGTGGAATGTTGGATAAAAAACAAGACACTACCATCTATTGCCTAGAAGAGACACCCTTAATGACAAAAGATACCTACAGACTCAAAGTAAAGCGATGGAAAAAGATATACTATGCAAATGAAAAATAAAAGCAAGCATAGGTAGCCATTTTTTTTTCCTTTTTTTGAGACAGGTTCTCGTTCTGTCGCCCAGGATGGAGTGCCATGGTGCAACCTCGGCTCACTGCAACCTCCCCTTCCTGGGTTCAAGCAATTCTTCTGCCTCATCCTCCTGAGTAGCTGAAATTATAGGCATGCGCCACAATGCCTGGCTAATTTTTGTATTTTTAGTAGAAGGAGGTTTGACCATGTTTGCCAGGCTGATCTCGCACTCCTGACTTCAAGTAAGCTGGCCTCTTTGATCTCCTTTCACCTCATCAACTTACAGCTCTTTCTAGATTCAGCCTTTCTCAGGAAGCCTTTTCTGGCTTCCTCATCCTTAATTTGGGTTAATCCTTCCAAGCACTTCTTGAGTATGTTAATTAACCTAATATCATAATACTTATCTCATTAAAAATACTGTGCTTGGCCGGGCATGGTGGCTCATGCCTGTAATCCAAGCACTTTGGAGGCCAAGGCGGGAGGATCACCTAAGGTCGGGAGTTCAAGACTAGCCTGACCAACATGGTGAAACCGCATCTTGAAAAAAAAAATTGTTTTTTTGTACGTTTCTTTCACTATAGATTAAGTAACTGGAAAGATCATAAGTTATTTATCTCAGTATCATCAAAACCTAGCATTGGCTGGGTGCAGTGGGTCACACCTGTAATCCCAACACTTTGGGAGTCTGAAGCGGGCAGATCACAAGGTCAGGAGTTTGAGACCAGCTTGGCCAATATGGTGAAACCTCATCTCTACTAAAAATACAAAAATTAGTCCGGTATGGTGGCATGGGCCTGTAGTCCTAGCTACTTGGGAGGCTGAGGCAGGAGAATCGCTTGAACCTGGGAGGTGGAGGTTGCAGTGAGCCAAGATCGCACCAGTGCACTCCAGCCTGGGTGACAGAGCAAGATTCCATCTCAAAAAAATAAAAAAATAATAAAAAAAACAAAGGTTGCTTGCTGAACAAACTTTAATGTGGTCCTGAAATTAAGAACTTTTAAGGAAAACAATGAGAAATATAGCCAGTTATACCATCCATCAGATACAATATCCCTGGAAACTACTTAGCCATCTATGTATTAAATGAAATAAAACACTAGATAACTTATTTTAATTTAGTGTTACTAGTTTTAGTTACCAATTGTTTTATAATTCTAATTTAGTGTTAAATTACATAAAAATCTGAGCCATTTGAGCAAAAGAATAATGAAAGAATAGAAAGCACATGCTTCCTAAAATTGGTATGCATAAATGAGCTTACTACTCATTAAAAAAGGACGGACTGGCCCGGCATGGTGGCTCACGCCTATAATCCCAGCACTCTGGGAGGCCGAGGCAGACAGATCACTGAGTTCTAGAACTCAGATCAGGAGTTCAAGACCAGCCTGGCTAACATGGTGAAAGCCCGTTTCTATTAAAACTACAAAATTAGCCTGGCGTGGTAGTGCATGCCTATAATCCCAGCTACTCGGGAGGCTGAGGCTGGAGAGTCGCTTGAACCTGAGAGCTGAAGGTTGAGGTAAGCCAAGAAAAAAAAATGGTTGAACTATCATGACAAAGGCAACTAAAAGATAACCTTGGATTCCCAGGTCTCTAATATGCCTTATTCTGGGAGAGACCAATGACCATAGAGCCTATCAGAGATGAAGTCAAGGGTATTAAAAGATGGCAAGAAAACAAATAAATTAACGTATTTTTAAAGGCGTCGTTAAGCTCAAATTATTTGAATGTTACTTAAACTAAAGAGGCAGTACTGATTATCATTAAAAATAGTCATCTTTTAAAAAAAAAATAGTCATCTTTTAATAAACATGCCTGTGACTTTTTTTTTTAATTGTTGTAACGTTTTGTTAAAAGTTTCATCAATTTGACTCATCCTAACTTACCTGTGTCTTTGTATGTGCTGTTCCTTCTGTCTAGAACGATATTCCTAGACTGGTCTTATTCATATTCTGGGAAAATCCTATTCATCTTTGTGACTCAGTTTGAGGGTCACTACTTCTATATAAAACTTCCCTCAATCTCCCACTATGTCCTTCAAAGTAGACACTATAGCTGACCCTCTCTCTGTACATGTGGGTTCCATATCCATGGATTCTGCATCTGTGAATTCCACCAACCTCAGATCAAAAATATTTGAGGGAAGAAAAAGGAAGGTTGTGTCTGTACTAAACATGTATATGGACTTTCTTCCTTATCATTATTCAATAAACAATACATTAACAATGGTATATATGGCATTTACATTGTATTAAGTATTATAAGTAATCTAGAAATGATTAAAAGTATATGAGAGAATGTGAATAGGTTATATGCAAATATTATACATTTATATAAAGCATTTCAACATTTGTAGATTCTGGTATCCAAGAAGGGGTCCTCGAACCAATTCCCCCCCCCCGCCATTAATATCGAGAGATGACTATACTTTGCATTCCCCTAGGCAATCATAAATACTTCCACTGTAGCAATTATCACACGTGACTGTTAAGTGTTTACTTGTCTGATTTCCCTATTAGGTTGTGTCCTTGATGGTGCAAAATTAGACTAATATAGAGCAGCTGTTTAATGAAAAAATAAAGTTCATTAAGATACTAACCATCTTTTTATTCCAGTTAACATGGGACACTGTCTAGCACAGCATATATTCTTAAAAACATCTGCTGACTGTTGGACTAATAACAAGTAAGATGAAATAATTTTTGAAGCATGACATCCAATTGCTATTTGCTAAATAAATGAATAAAGACACAATGGTAAAGAAAAGAAAAAGGTAAAATGAATAAACAAGTTAATCCCAATAGAGAATTCTTTTCTAGGTATCACTAGGTGAACAAAAAATAATATAAATAAAATTGTGCTGTCAGATTTGACCAAGTTTTAGCTGATGCCCCCAAATCTGATGCACTACACTCTCCACACTACAAGAGGTTTGAAGAACATTTAAAAACGAATCCTTGTTTTTATCCACTGGTTATTCTAATAAATCATGTTTATATGCCTCTATCTCAAGAAATTTCAAGTACCATCAACTCAACGATGATTTTTATAGACTAAATACTTACTTAGAAACAAAATATCCCTGGGTAGTTTTATAATATTCATGAAGAAAATTACCTTGCCTTTCTAAGAAAACAGTTGTAGAAGATAAAAAACTAAAAGTACCTCACCTTATTTTTCCTGTTGTCATTGTACTTGATTAAGTCTAAAATAAACGTTAAGACTTCTTTAGGACAAAGATTATGAACATCTCTTAATAAAGCCATCGCAACAGGCATAGTCTACAAAAGAAAAGAAAAAGAACTTTTAAAAGCACATAACCTTTTTGTTACTACAATTCATTGAACTATATATAGAAAAGGGTTACTTTTGGGCTGCAATAGGTATCTGGATGGAGCCTAACACCCCCATACCCCAACCCCTCCCACTGACAACATATCTCAAAGCATTCTAACACAGAAGACCTGGACAGGAAATTAAGGAAGAGCTGCATGACCGCACACCACTCTGCAGGCTATGTGCCTTGGCCCTTGTTTGCTGGAGGAAATATATGTAATGTAAATTATGTAATTTCACTTCTATGTGATACAGTGGAAAGGGCATAGATTTTAGAATGACTTCTGTGTGATACAGTGCATAAGGTATAGATTTTAGCATTAGATGGACCATTATTCAACTCCTAAGCTCTACTACCTTCTGTGCTAGGTGTCTTTAGCTAGTTGCCTACTGAGTAGGAGTCTCATTTCCTCAAACCCGTTTTCAGGATTAAACCACGTAAGTAGGTGGAGTCAATCTTCAGTCTTAGAACAAATTGAGTCTCCCAACACCTAATCCTCATGGAACACCCAATACTCAACCTAAGGGAAAAAAATGTGAATTATCTAAAATCCAGCCTAACTTTTCCCTTTCCAAATTTTCATAGGCAACATTTTTAAGACAGTAGGAACATGACTTACACATACTGGTTAACTTTATTAGTAAAACAAAGTGAATTCAATTCTAGGCAGAACTACAGATGAAAAGACATCTTAGTCCTGAGCACATGGGAAGACACAGATTAACCCCTCTTTTTACTGAAAATAGCCATACCCTCTAAAATGGACAAAAGGAAAGATGGCTCTTTTTCTTGCTTGAAGAAGCAGAGATAATAGGGGCAACACCAGTCAGTGTTAGTGCTGTAGGAACAACTGAGGAAAAGGCTCTTTTCCATAGAAATACCCATCCTATGCCTTTTCTACCCTTTGAGACTCAAGTTTCATTTAGGCACCACTCTCTCTCTCCTGTCCACTAGAAGTATTATCAGAAAGATGAACTGGTATAAAAGCACTGACTTTCCGATTTTTTTTTGACAGTAACAGGAAAAAACACATCTTATAACATAACCTAACACACATACACACTTTAAATGCAATGTATACAAATTTAAAAGTAAACCCCAAACATCATATACTGAACACTACCCATTCTGTTTTCTTTTATTTAAAAACAAAAACTACACTGATTTTGGCCAGGCACGGTGGCTCACGCCTGTAATCCCAGTACTTTGAGAGGCCAAGGTGGGTGGATCACCTGAGGTCAGGAGTTCAAGACCAGCCTGACCAACATGGAGAAACCCTGTCTCTACTAAAAATACGAAATTAGCTGGGCATGGTGGCACATGCCTGTAATCCCAGCTACTCAGGAGGCTGAGACAGGAGAATCACTTGAACCTGGGAGGCGGAGGTTGCAGTAAGCTGAGATTGTGCCACTACACTCCAGGCTGGGAAACAAGAGCAAAACTTTGTCTCAAAAAAACAAAACAAAACAAAATAATATGATATACTGATCTCATGATCTCTTCCACTAAATGGTTCATAACTCCAATTTGAAACACTGACCTAAGATACATGAAAGCACAGTGGCATCATGAGACAGATACATCAGGCAGACACAGAAACTGACTTGCTTCTGTATCATAAATTCGTGAAATGGTAATACAGAACAGTTCTTAAAAACAAAATTACAGGATGCCACAGATTTCTTTGATCAAACCATTACTACCTTTCCCAAAACCTGGATCATCCAGATTCTGCCCTACTGATTAGATTTACTGCAAATACATCCTGGCTTCTACTCTCAAAAGGCACCCCAATACTGCTATGCAATCCTTCTTCTTTTCCCTCTACCATAAATAAATTCCAACGTGCCTAACATTCCCCTTGACATCTATCTTTCACTTGTTTTCAATCTACATTCCACCTGCCTCAAAAAAAGGAATGTTCTTATCTTTTCTAAAATGTTCTTCCTTACTCTGCCCCACCCTCTTACGCTTCCAGAACTTGCTCAACCTTCTCTATTTACTTTCTCCCCTTGACTGTTCCATCTCTCCCTCTCCACTGGGTCTTCTCCCTGTGTCATACGTGCCTCAAGTTTCTTCTCCATCTGTACAAAACAAACCCAAAAAGTCCTTTTCTCAACCTTGCTTCATCCTTAATATAGTATCCTTGCTTGTATCTTTGAGTAAAATCATGAAAGAGGCTTCATTAGTTCTCTCTAAGGAAAAAATGGTAAATTATCTGAAATCCAGCCTAACTTTTCCCTTTCCAAATTTTTATAGGCAACATTTTTAAGGAAGGAGAAACATGACTTACACACACTGGTTAACTCTATCAGTAAAACAAAGCAAATTAAATTCTAGGCAGAATTAGAGATGAATAGACGTCTTAGTCCCTAGCACATGTGGAAATATGGACTAACCCCTCTTCTTACTCAAAATAACTATACCCCCTAAAATGGTCAGAAAGGAGGATGGCTCCTCTCTACTTCTAGTAAAACTGCTACTAGAGAGTTCTCTCTACTTCAACTTCACTCCTCCTTTCTAGTTCAATCTAGATAATCTGATCCCCACCTTATTATAAAATTACTCAAAAGACTATATGAATGATATTCAAATTGCCCAAATGCTGACCATCCTGTCATTCCCATATCCTTTCCTAAAACAATGACTCTAACCATACCACTGCACACCACCACTTTCTAAAAATTCCAATTGTAGAAAACTTATCCTAAGTGTAGTATAAAACAATGTACATACTTGATCTTAGTTCTAAAAAAGATAACTTACAACTGAGTAAACCGAGGTGTAGAAGGTTAAGAAACTTGTGCTGTGATAGCTGCTAGTGAGTAGTGGGCTGGGACTAAAACTAGAGCTCTATACCGTGTTGTCTCTGTCTCAGATGTGCTGTCCACTTTACATTAACATTTTTTGTCCACTTTAATATTAACATGGCCAGTGAGTTACTTGCACACAGATCATAAAATCTATAATCACTTAATCAAACTTTGGGAAAAAGTTTAAAATCAAAAAAAGAACAGAGGCAAAGAAAGTAAACACACCTATTATTTGAACAGTCTTCAACTTAAAACTGAGATGTATAAAAACCATGAGAAAATTAGAAAGTAAACTGTACCTTCTGCAGAAAATAACTTTGAAAGCTCATAAAGTTGTTTGTTTTCACAATGTTTGGACAACTTTTACAACAAAACATCCTAGTAAAGAGTGACTTCATGGCTGGTGGTCCTGTCCATGTGCTAACCATTGAATTTGCAATCTGCAAATAATTAGAAAACAAAATAGTTTCTATTACCAAGGCAAACATACTTTAAAACAAAGCAGCTTCTTAAAAGTTATCAATACCACACTGGATTGGTTTTTCAACAACTTTAATTCTCAGAAATTTAAAACAATGTAGCATTTTATCACCATTTCCAAGAAACTATACAAACTCACCCTGAAAAAAAATTCCTTTTGGCCAGGTCTCATGGCTCATGCCTGTAATCCCAGCACTTTGGGAAACCACAGAGGGTGGATCACCTGAAGTTGGGAGTTCAAGAGCAGCCTGGCCAATATGGTGAAACCCTGTCTCTACAAAAATACAAAAAAATTTAGCTGGGCATGATGGTGGGTGCCTGTAATACCAGCTACTTGGGAGGCTGAGGTGGGGGAATTGCTTGAACCCAGGATGGGGAGGTGTCAGTGAGCTGAGATGGCACTACTGCACTCCAGCCTGGGTGACAGACAGACTACGTCTCAAAAAAAAAAAATTTATTTTTCTTTTAATTTTTTGGAGATGGAGTCGCGTTCTATTGCCCAGGCTAAAGCGCAGTGGTATGATCACGGGTCACTACAACCTCCACCTCCAGATTTCCAGCGATTCTCCCACCTCAGCCTCCTGAGTAGCTGGGACTACAGGTGGGCACCACACCTAAGTAATTTTTGTATTTTTAGTAGAGGCCAACATTTCACCATGTTGGCCAGGCTGGTCTTGAATTCCTGCCTCGGTGGGCGGATGTTGAAATTACAGGTGTGAGACACTGCACCCAGCCAAAAATATTCTTACATATAATTATTTTCTACAAGTCAATTTCTAAATGACAGCATTAAGTTTTAGGAAAATATGTATGCAAAAGACTTATATTTTGAATAGTTTGTCTTTATTCATTTAGGCAGATATAATTCTAATATTTTATTTTATTTATTTATTTATTTATTTATTTTTTAGAGACGGGGTTTCACCATGTTGGCCAGGATGGTCTCGATCTCTTGACCTTGTGATCCACCCGCCTTGGCCTCCCAAAGTGCTGGGATTACAGGTGTGAGCCACCGCACCTGGTCCAATTCTAATATTTTAAACCTATCAGACAGAAACATCACTATGAATTTTAAACAAGATTTTTCAATCTACCCTAACTGAACAAGAAGCCAAATGCAGTGCTACCATTTATGCCTATAAGCATGCTTTACCAAAGTGTATCTTGCTTTACCCTATACCTTGCTATTGATATTTTTAGGGTATATAGAAATCATGCCTGAAAAAAATGAAATTATGATTAAACATGTTCAAGAATTTTATGGACCTGCTAAGATTTTAGCATACAGGAATCACAAAGATCTTTATAGAAACAATGAAATTATATCCTCTGCAGATGATTATCAAAGAAAATCACTGCTTTCTCTCATATATCTGAGAACATTAAGAATTCAACTACTCACTTATTATCATTAAAAGTAAATCAAAATCATTATTAAGTTGTTAAAATATAGGACAAATGGATTTAACAGTGAGAAAGGCAAGAGTCACTAAATGGAAAATGAACCTATTATCAAGTTTTTAAAAAAACACCTGGAAAACATTATTTCTGACCCAAATTTTGTCTGCATTTTCCTGGTTTTCATTTGCTCTGCCTTCAGATAATTTGCATCTAAAGAAATATATTTGGTGTTCTTATTTAACTTTCCTAAAATAATATAGAATCTACCATTTTAAGTTACTCATCACTAATCTGGATTCCTAAATTCAAACCAAAGTGAAATGATCACTACAGTGGAATAATTAAGATTAACCAATCAGCCGAGCACAGTGGAGCATGGTGGCACATGCCTGTAATCCCAGCTGTTTTGGGGGCTGAAGTAGGAGTATCACTCAAGCCCAAGAGTTTGAGGCCAGCCTGGGCAACACAGTGAGATCCCATCTTTATTTTTTAAAACAATGCACGCATGCATGCACACACACGCACACACACACGCACACACGCACACACACACACACACACACAGAGATTTCATGTACTACAATATAAAACATCACTCAAAACAAGGAATTGATCACCAAATATATTATTTGCTTTAAAAATGTGGTTGATAATTCAACAAAACAGTGAAAATCTAACTTCTTTTTGACAATTATAAAATTATTCTGCCTATCTATTTTCAGGTCAAAACAGGTTTCTTTCAAAATAGTCCTGTTAATTTAAAGGCATTTGGCAAAAGCTTTCAAAGAATTGGCTACCAAATAAATTTAAAGACTACGTGAATTTTAATTCATTTTCAGAGATATTAAAAAATACATGCAATAGTCATCTTGTTTTCTTTCTGCTATACATAATCTCACCTTTGCAAGACAGAAGCAAGCTGACATTCTTACTCTATAGAAACACTGCTCTTGTTCTAATATATCAGTGAGTGCAAGCCGAGATGCTGGAGTAGGGAACTTTTCCAAAGCCAAAATGGATTCCTGCTGTGCAACAACATCTCTCTCATAGCGGAGTTGATACTGCCACATGAAATCAGCTTGCTCAAATTCTACCTTCCTCAGTACTGACATATCTGGGTCTATCCTTATCCATAGCAAAGGGGAATCGGCACTGAAAGAAAATGTAATTTTCTTTTTAATTTAGAAATAAATACAAAGCATTTATTAGCCAGGGTCCAAGATATAGTATTCAAGACTGCCCGAAGTTTTACTGTATTCATTTTTTTTAATTGCACTGACAAATTTCTCATTATGTTTAACATATCTCAACTTTCTCACAATGTCTGATCTATATCAATCTTGATAAAAAGATCTTCCAGAAAATATGAATCATCTTTTACAAAAGACATTGAATCTCTCATTTCCCATCTGAAATTATTTTGGTGATTTTGATTTGATTATATGATGCAAAAAAAAAAAGAAAAGATATAAATTTCTTAATTTGTTTAGCTGACTTAAAACTTTTTAAAAATACTAGACTCATGATCACCTTTTTCAAGCACGTTCTGAAATCATAACTTGGAGGCATATCACAAATTTATTTTCATGTACTTCTCAAAGTAACAAATATAGTTTAAAAAATCTAGTCAACGTCAACACCTTCATCAGAATACCACCTGTAATATTAATTCAATTCAGCACATATTATTGGCTATTTACTACAGGCAAGGTACTTGCTATTGAAAAATCAAAATTAACACTGATCTAAACCAGGTGCAGTGGCTTACACTTGTAATCCCAGCCCTTTGGGAGGCAGAGGTGGATGAATCACGTGAGGTCAGGAGTTCAAGACCAGCCTGGCCAACATGGCAAGACCCCATATTCTATTCACTAACAATACAGAAATTAGCCAGGTATGGCACCATGCAGCCAGGCATGCAGTGAGCCGAGACAGCACCACTGCACTCCGGCCTGGGCAACAAAGCAAGACTCTGTCTCAAAAAAAAATTAACACTGATCTTGAAGGGCAAATGAACACAATCTGTATATAAACAGTAATAATAATCTATCAATCAAGTTAGTAAATAATTACAGAGATTTTATAAAAAATATACAGCTACAGACTGGGCAAAATTAGAAAGTTTGAGCTGTATACTATTTAAAATAAAACACTGTCAATCAATAAATATTATCACATAAAGTTTAGAACAGTGGTTTTTAAATTGTTTTGCAAGCATAGGGAGACTTAAGGCACCCCAGAGCTTTGTTCTAAAGACAAAGAATATCACCCGGGAGTTCATGAGAAATACAAACTATCAGGCCTCACTTGTGTAGTACTGGATCAGAAACTGCATTTTAGGACAGTCCCCAACTGATTCATATGCAGGTTATAGTTTGATGCCACTGCTCTAGATGCTACCAAGAGAGAACAAGAAATCTGCCTAGTCAAAGTTGTGCCCACCCCTCAACTATAATGCATTTCCTCTTAATTTCACCTAGGCCCTAGCAGACTTACTTTTATCTCTTTGATTAGTTATGATTTTACATAAAATTTGTTTTGAACATGGGGTTTCTATTAAATTGAAAAAATTTTAGAGCACTCACTTGGAGAACAGTTATATGCTTTTACATATGCATAACAAATGAGACAAACGAGAATGCACAAAATATTATAACCTTCTATGTAAGTTAACTAACTTACTCCATTGCAGAAAGATCCATGTCAACTTCTTCTCCATTCATCAGTGGGATTTTTTTCTTTTTATTCCTACATTTAAGAAAAAGAAGGTTGGAAAATTGTGAGCCTTCTAATTCTGAATGGAGATTAACAGCAGTTAAAATTCAAATAAAGGATTTCACACAACTTGGAAAGCTATCCTTAGGAAAAACAGCTGTCAAATGTAACAAAATTTAAACAGAACAAAGTCTGTTTATTTTAAAGTTGGAGGAAATGAAGTAAATATCAAATTATTTTCCTGATCAAATGTTAACAAGAAACATAAATATATAATAAAATGTCAACCTAAAACATCTGTTTCAAGAACTGGTAGCTGCAATTTTATACAGAAAAGGAGGCAGAGGTTGCAGTGAGCTGAGATCACACCACTGCACTCCAGCCTGGCAACAGAGCCAGGCTCCGTCACACACACACAAAAAAGAATTAAATAAATTTTAACATTTAGGTTTGAGAATCCTTATTTTGTTGGATGGTAGAGGCCGAGGGGCTAGAATGGAAGTTTGAGTTTTTGGTGCTAGAAAAAAATTCAAGACAAATAGCTCAGGTTCATCCTTATTGGTCTTGTTGGATTAATACCTACAGGAAATATTAGGAAAGTGATGATTGAAAGGAAAGAGCTGAATATGTTTTGCAAAGCCCCTGCACCTTGCTTACTATTTTTTTTTCTCTATATCACCATGCCCCTTCAGAACCTTCTTGATGTCTTTCAAAGGCAAATTGCCACTTTTCTTTAATATATTTTTCATTAACCACTAACTTAAACAACAGTTAGTATGTACTCTGAAGAGTGAGAGAAGAGAACATTTCTGTATTTTGCTGCCTCCTGGGTTCAAGCAATTCCCCTGCCTCAGCCTCCCGAGTAGCTGGAATTACAGGTGTGCACCACCACACCTGGCTAATTTTTTGTATTTTAGTAGAGACAGGGTTTCACCATGATGCCAGAATGGTCTCAATCTTCTAACCTAGTCATCTGCCCGCCTTGGCCTCCAAAACTGCTGGGATTACAGGTGTGAGCCACAGTGCTCAACCAAATATTGTTATTTAATTCTAAAGATAAAAATGTCATCAAGAAAGCAAGCAAACAAAGAATGTTTGGTAATACAAACTGGAAGTAAAATGAAGGAAAAAAGGTAACATGTTCTCTACCTAGAAAATTAGGGGTACACAGGCTGGCATGGTAGCTCATGCCTGTAATCCCAGCACTTGGGGGGCCGAGAAAGGCGGATCACCAGAGGTCAGGAGTTCAAGACCAGCTTGGCCAACATGGTGAAATCCTGTTTCTAATAAAAATACAAAAATTAGCTGGGCATGGTGGCAGTCGCCTGTAACCCCAGCTACTTAGGAGACTGAGGCAGAAGAATTGCTTGAACTGGCAGGCAGAGGTTGCAGCAAGCTGAGATAGCATCACTGTACTCCAGCCTGGGTAAAAGAGCAAGACTCTGTCTAAAAAATTAGGTATACAATATAATTCTTATTTTGGCATTTTAGTCTGTGAGATTTGTAGTTTAACTTTCAGTTTATAGTTATTATTTAATGCCTACCTTCTGCTTTTGGAATGGCAGGGTATATCATGTTTAAGGCTGTTTTCTTCAATTTGCAATGTATGATTGAAGGATCCATCTAACTCCTGCACTGTCACTTTAAGTGGTCCCTTTAAAAACGACAACATAGTGTTCAGAGATGTGTTTAAAAAAAATATATCAATATGTATGCTTGTGTGTACAGAGAAATATAGATCAAGATATAAAATCATTACACAAAATAAGTATCTCCAGATCTAGATAGGTAACAGGTGCTTAAGGGGGCAATGGAAGATTCTGAGTCGCCTGAAATCTCTGTACCTCGTCTTTTCTTCTTTGACAAAGTCCATGTTTTCTCAATTAATTCTCTGCAAACAAAATCTCATTAATTTCTAACTAGTAACCCACCCCTAAGTTCCTCTTATATTGCAACTGAGGTGAGAGCAGTACAAAAGCCATTTTGGAAAAACACTTACCACATATTTCTGAGTTCCAGGAGATGTATAGTCCTGTTTTATTTCCAATTCCAAGACATTTCGTTTTCTATTAAATGCAAAACTTCCATAAAACTTTACCACTCCACTCTGATCTCTGAAGAATTGTAAAGGAAATTTTACATACTGAAATGAATGTGTACGAAACAAGTAATTCATCATGGTATTGATAAATTTTCAAATGCACTCCCACCAGTTCAAAGATTGAGAGCACACTCTACAGTAAACCAGGTGGCAAAGTATTCAAAATTCTTGTGAAAAATGCTTTCCCAGATTTAAATATAATTTCTGAAACACTGACAAATTTGTGTTTTGAAAGAAGCAGAACCATTATACAAGGTTATTAATATAATGGTGCTTTGAAATAAAAAATGCACTAACTGCAAAATTCCAAGATGCCACTCAAATTGTGCCAATCCCAACCACATCCACAAGTCAGCAAACTGCTGCACCTCACAAGTAATCCTACAGGCCTGTCTGGTAGATTACTTACCTATACTACCATCAAACCAACTTTTTTACTCACATACTCTTTATTCACTAGAAAGTACTTTAAAATATGCCAAACTTTACAAATATAAAAATTCATGTGTGTACCTTATTGTCTAGTAGGCATCTTAGATGAAACAATCTACAGTTCATCATTATTTCTACCACTGTTTAGAAATATAAACAGTTCATACTCCCTTTAGGCCCCCTGAAGTCTCTCTTCTTCCATCTTCCCCCTGCACACATACCTTATTCCTTCCCCACTTTGCTGAACTGTTATTAAAAGGATACACCCACTGCTTTATTAATGGCTGAATATCTTTGCCAGAGACATTTGAAATGGATTTCAAAAACCCAGACGTGGAAACCAACATCTGACTCCACATATGTGACTGGAACTTCTGAGATGAAGCAGTACTAGCCAGACTTAGCAGTTTATTGAAAACCTATAAGAATAAAATTATCATTTAGTAAGTTCCTATAACACATTCCTTCCATTTACATAGAATACTTACTTTGCACTGTTATCTTTATTGTAGTCAATTATAGAAGATAATAATTTCACTACTTATTACATGTATTATTCTAAAGACTACCAGGAAGAGAAATATGCAGACATAAGCAGCCAGAATACAAAACCATTCTTCATATAAACATTACTGAATGCTAATGATGTACTGAATAAATAATACTGTTTATTAAGAATTATAGTAAGAATAATATATAATACCTATAATTGACTGTGCCATGAGTTTACACAGAAACTAGAAATCAAGAAGCTCATCAGGATTTATACACTCCAAAGCTTTAGTAGCTCTTTATGGACCATCTCTCATTTAATGTTTCTGTTCTTTAGGCTGGGTGCAGTGGCTCATGCCTATAATCCTAGCACTTTGAGAGACAACAGTAGGTGGGTAGCTTGAGCCCAGGAGTTGGAGACCAGACTAGGCAACATGGCAAAACTCCATCTCTACAAACAATACAAAAATTAGCTGGGTGTGATGGTGCATGCTTGCAGTTCCAGCAACTCCGAAGGCTGAGAGAGATGAGAGGATCCCTTAAGCCCGGGAGGTCAGAGCTGCAGTGAGCAGTGATTGCAGCACTGCATTCTCAGCCTGCGTGACAAGAGTGAGACCCTATCTCAAAAAAAAAAAAAAGGGCTGGGCGCGGTGGCTCACGCCTGTAATCCCAACACTTTGGGAGGCCGAGGAGGCTGGATCACGAGGTCAAGAGATCGAGACCATCCTGGTCAAGAAGGTGAAACCCCATCTCTACTAAAAATACAAAAATTAGCTGGGCATAGTGGTGCGTGCCTGTAGTCCCAGCTACGCGGGAGGCTGAGGCAGGAGAATTGCTTGAACCCAGAAGGCGGAGGTTGCGGTGAGCCGAGATCGTGCCATTGCACTCCAGTCTGGGTAACAACAGCGAAACTCCATCTTAAAAAAAAAAGGCAAGGTGAAGAACAGAAAGATTAAAGAAACTTAACTTTACAGCAAACTTAAAATGCTTTTAAAAATTATTATTTTTTTACCTGCCTCTAAGAATGTTGTCAAAGAAAAAAAATGACTGAACATTTGGTTTCCATTCTCAGCTACTAAATTCCAACTATTCACACTAAAACTCATTTAAAATACATCACAAAATTTAGCAATTGCAAAAATAAACATCATTTATATTAGTTTACTTTTTTCTGTTGAAAAAAGTTTACAGTGGCATTTCATCCTTAATATAATTCAGAACACATTTCATCTGCATAAGTATGTTTTACATTCATCCCCATGATTTTAATTTTTTTTCTTCTCTTGAGACAGTCTCGCTCTGTCACCCAGGGTTGTGTGAAGTGGCACCATAATGGCTCACTGCAGCTTCAACCTCCTGGACTCAAGCAATCTCCTGTCTCCTCCTCCCAAGAAGCTGGGACTACAGAATCATGCCACTATGCCTGGCTTCTTAAAAAAATATTTTTTTGAGATGCTGCCCAGGCTGGTCTCAAACCCCTGTCCTCAAGCAGTCATCCTACCTCAGCATCCCAAAGTGCTGGGATTATAGGCATGAGCTACCAAGCCCAGCCACCATATTCTAATTACATCTTCATAAAAATCATGTGCTAAGTTGTTCTGCTATTGATACTCATTCTATATCTGAGGAAATGCAAATATAAAGCACAGGTTACTTAGTGGACAAACAGAACTACACATCCAGATGTCCTAACTCCTATTCTACAGAAACGTATTCAGAATATACACATACAGATCTTTACTTACCATTGTTAAGTTCTTAACTTTAATACTTACTTGTAGCATAAATTCCATACTGATCCTATTTTCAATCAATCTCATCACAAGGTGAGCTTTACACTGAAACATAGTATAGTATTCCCAGGACAGTGTATGTGGATGCTTTATTGAAAAGTGTAGATGGGAAGCCGGACTAAAAAAATAAGCACATTTACCTAATATAACAAATTTGACTATTAAATAAACAATACATTTCATGACCACATCAAGAAAATACATTAAAAACATCATGAGAATATATAAGCAATTTCCTTAGTACTAAGAAACATCTAAAAATAAACTTACCTGGAAGAAAATTATGAAATTTTACTTAAGGAAAATCTGAATAAATGGAAACAAATACCAAGCTCCTAGATGAGAAGATACAATACTGTAAATACTTCCATTCTCCCAAATCCATCGATATAATCAACGCAATTCCAATCAATATCCCAACATCGTAGCATGCACAAAAATATAGTCAAGACAGATTATATATGTAAAATAAAGACAACTCCAAAAGTACTAAAAGAAATGAAAGAAAAAATTTCTCTTTATAATTTTGGGATGGGAAACATTTTCCTAAGGAAAAATATAAAATCTGGAAGACATAAAGATCAGAATGACTATGTAAAAATTTAAAAATTTTGACATTATGAAAAGGATCATAAGTAAATTTAGAGATACAGTCTAGAAAATATTTATAACATACATGAACCTTTAAGTTGTTTACAAATTCACTAAACCAAATAATGCAATGGTGAATATCTTTTTACCAATGTGCAAATATTTCTGTATGATAAATGCCTAGAAGAATTTCTTTTTCTTTTTTTTTCTTTTTCACAGCAGTCGGTCCTTTGGAGAATTTCTTTTTTTTTGAGACTGAGTCTCACTCTTGTCATCCAGGCTGGAGTGCAGTGGCATAATCTCAGCTCACTACTACCTCTGCCTCCCAGGTTCAAGCAATTCTCTTGCCTCAGCCTCCTGAGAAGCTGGGACTACAGCCACCTGCCACCAAACGTGGCTAATTTTTGTTTTTTCTTAGTAGAGATGGGGTTTCGCCGTGTTGGCCAGGTAGTCTCAAACTCCTGACCTCCGGTGATCTGCCTGCCTCAGCCTCCCAAAGTGCTAGGATTACAGGCATGAGCCATTGCACCTGGCCACAAGAATTTCTCTATGACCACATACCTACAAGAACTGTTGGATCTAAAAATTACCCATTCTACAATTCTGATTAGTACCACACTAAATTACCCTTCAGAAATATTGTATCAAACTATACCCTGACAGTGTATGAGTGGTGCTATGGTTTGTTTGAATGATGCTGCTCCCTCCAAAATTCAAGTTGAAACCTAAACCCCAATGCAACAGTCTTAAGAGGTGTGGCCTTTGGGAGGTGATTAAGTCATTAGGGATCTACCCTCATGAATGGGATTAGCAACCTCATAAAAAGGCTGCAGGTTGAAGGAGTGTTCTTTTGCCCTGCCATCCCTTCTACCTTGTAGAGGCACAACATTCTACCCCACTGGAGGATGCAGCAACTAGGTGCCATCTTGGATGCAGAGAGCAGCCTCACCAGACACCAGTCCTCCTGGTGCCTCAATCTTGAACTTGCCAGCCTCCAGAACAAGAAGTAAATTTCTGTGGTACTTTGTTATAGTAGCATAAACAAACTATGGCAAGTGGTATTACACATCTTCAAAATGTGGCATATTGATCGAGGTAAGAGGATTGCTTGAGCCCAAACTTTGAGATTAGCCTGGGTGACAATGTGAGACCCCATCAAAAAAATTTTTTCTTAATGTGGCATATTAAAACTTAAAATACTTTAATGAATCTGATATTTTAAAAATTATTTTTAGATTTTACTTGTTACTTTCAACCTTATGAGCTTATGAGTTTGTAAGCTTTAGCAAAGAATAGCAATGAGAAAGGTTAAATAAATTCTGAGGTACAATGAAATACTATTTAGCTCTTAAATGGAATGATTTTTACATGTAGTCGTTTATAATATCATCTCTGAACAGTAAACATACTTATCCTTCTCTTTTCCTCCACCGAATATGGGATGTAGTAAAACTCCACCAGTTTTCAGTTCATATGTCACTATTTTGTCTAGCTCCTAAAAAATATATAAAAATAGAAGTCAGTAAAATTTGTGAAGTAAAATTATTTTACATATCAAATTTTAGAATTAAACTGTGAATTTTCATTTCCTAAATGGAAAATGTAAATTTCTTAAAATAAGTGAAATGCAGTTAAAGAGTAGTTTATGTTCTTAAAAATAGAGCAGGCTACACAGCTGGCAGAATGACAAAAGCCAAAGACTTGTCTGCTTTGTGACTTCAGGGCTGGGCAGCAGCCTGGCAACTTTTTCTTATGGCTGTTCTCGATCTCTTTGAGCTGTCTCCCAAGTTTATTTTTCCCTTCTCTGTATTTTGCTTTAGGGAATTTAGGCAAGTAAAAAGGAATGAGAATAAATTATGTCAGGAATCCATTATTTTAAAACTTCAGTCTTCTCTAACATGACATAAACTGAAGTTTAAAAAAAAGCGTTTTGTTTTGTTCTGTTTTTTAACAGAAAAAAAAGGAGGGCAGTTCTTTTGTTTTGAGACAGGGTTTCACTCTGTCACCCAGACTGGAGTGCAGTGCCTGATTATGGCTCACTGCAGCCTTTGACCTCCTGGGCTTAGGTGATCCTCCCACCTCAGCCTTCCAAGAAGCTGGAACTACAGGCACTGGCCATCATGCCTGATTAATTTAAAAATAAAAAAAAAAGCATAAGTGAAAAAAAGACACCACTACAATTATGCTGGAAACTCATGACTAGTTTAACTAATACAGATGTAGTACAGAAAAGTGGCAAACAGCATAGTGAAGCAATTAAAAGCCAAGTTGGAATCCTGGGTCTACTACTTACTAGCTGTGCACTTTGACGAAATAATTTAACCTTTCTTTCTGTGCCTCAGTTTCTTCATCTATAAAATGGAAATGATAGCAAAGTAGTTAGGAGAATTAAGATCATTAATATTTCTTTTTTTTTTTTCAGGGTGGAGTCTTGCTGTGTCACCCAGGCTGGAGTGCAGTGGCATGATCTTGGCTCACTGCAACCTCCGCCTCCCGGATTCAAGCCATTCTCCTGCCTCAGCCTCCTGAGTAGCCGGGATTACAGGCACATGCCACCATGCCCGGCTAATTTTTGTATTCTTAGCAGAGACTGGGTTTCACCATGTTGAGCAGGCTTGTCTCGAACCCTTGACTTCATGATCCCAACAATAATCCAAAACGTTGGGATTACAGGAGTGAACCACCAGCCCAAGATCATTAATATTTATAAAATGTTTTTAACAGTGCCTGAAACATTTTAAGTGTGTTATTTTGTTCTTCTTAATAGTTTCTGAAATGATGAACAGACTCCTCCAGTTCTAGATGTGTAAGTACGAATACATTAGTAGTTAAAATCTTTGAAAAATAACTTTTTGGCTTACTTGAGTTTATTCTTGGGTGATAATAATATGTAAAGTAAGAATAAGGGGAAGATAATAAGGTTTGTTTACTGAAGATATTAAAGGCTGCGATGTTTCTACCTGAGAATGAAGACACTAAGCATGATATGATTAAAATGTTTATATATATGACCAGAATATGCTAAGTAAAATACAACAAGAGTAGTTTCTTTTGGCCAAATCTATAAATTGTAAAAAAAAAAAAAAAAAAAAAAAAAAAAAAAAAAAAAAAGAAGACATGACAATGAAAAAAAAAAGGCATTCAAGGCCTAACCAGAATATAATAAGCAGTTAATATGTGCAAAGCATTATGCACATTACATGTATGATGTCTAACAATCACTGCCCATGGGCAGACACTACTATTGCATTCCTTATACAGATGAGACTTTAAAAGATTAAGGTCCAAAGCTAAACAAATTTAGGAAGCACAGTTATAAATGAATACCGTAAGAAGCTGGGACATACCTAATGACCAATCTCATGTTTAAGGAACTTAAATATTCTCTTCCTTAGGGGAAAAAAAGTCTTTAGGGGCCAATGTTGACAATGGAGATTAGATTAAATAGACAATTCGTCTTTCTCAGTAAACTGATTCCCATTTTGCTGGGAAAAATTAGGGATTTTCAAGTAGTATTTTAAAAGTATTTTACAATCATTAAAAACGGAGGGGCTGGGCATGGTGGCTCATGGCTGTAATCCCAGCACTTTGGAAGGTTGAGGTGGGTGGATCACCTGAGGTCAGGAGTTCGAGACCAGTCTGGCCAACATGGTGAAACCCTGTCTCTACTAGGTAATAAAAAAAATTCCTGGGTGTGGTGGCACATGCCTGTAGTCCCAGCTACTCTGGAGGCTGAGGCAGGAGAACCCTGGAACCCAGGTGGGGGAGGTTGTACTTAGACCAGATCTTGCCACTGTACTCCAGCCTGGGCAACATAGCGAGACTCCATCTCAAAAACAAAAACCATAAAACAAAAAAATGGAGGACATGAGACTTGGAAATCAGGAGAACACTAAAGTCTTACTGACGTCTAAGTGGGTAAGGGATCTAGCTTTATTACCTCTTTAATCCAATGGCGGTACTCATTAACACCAAAAGTTTTTTTCATCCAAAGTCCATAGATATAGCCTGAAATTCCCTTCAGCACCCATTCATCAGACCTAAGCAAAAAGTCAAAGTATAAGTTACTTTTCATCATAAAAACGCTTCAGATAATGTCTAAGAGGATGATGGAATAAGTGTACTGTGTATTTCTCTGCCCTCATAAAGAAAGTGAAAATTACTAACAAATCATCAGGTTTCCCAACTTCCTCTGGCTGAGTTCTACTTGCCCATTCATTACACCTTATTCACACTTGCTTTACCTTTGAGACCGCTTTACAGTCTTGCTTCAGTTATAAATTACCAGAGGACAGGCTCTACTCTGACAGTGCTGCTTCCCTCCTGCCCAACTCTGTTCTTAATGTCTCTGTCTCTAAGGAAATACTTGTTCAGAGCAAGGACTATACTGTTCAATTCTAAAAGTCTACATGCTATTATTGTCAATCCTATGCATTATGCCAATACCAATGCCATTCTAAAACCTAAAGTTTAATTGCTTCATTCATTTTTTTTGGTTTCTCTAGGAAAAAAAATCACAATTAACATCACTTACTCATTTATTCATTTGTATATTCAAATCCATCTACCCATCCACCCACCCATCCATCCATCCATCCATAATATTTTGCCTAGTATGTTCCAAGCACTATTCTTTAATGAAACTTCTATGTGTAGCTTTAGGAAAATTACAAATAAGAGATCTACCTTTAGCCTCTGCCCTCTCCCCTCCAGTAAGCAAAAAAAAAAAAAACCAAGATTTACATACTGTGTATAGTACAGAGTGTTCACAACTATAATTTATAATCTTAATTTTTGTGTTTTTTTCAAAATCATCTTGCGTTAATAAAACAGAAAAGAAAAAACATTTATTCCTTTCATTTCTTTCAACAAACTGGTACAAAGCTGAGCACTAGTAGGCAAATCCCTAAATAATTATTTGCACTATTTTGCTCCCCTTAATAACTACTATTTCCAATTGCTTTGAACATTAATATTAAAATTCTAATTACGGTCTTCTGTACATTTAAGTTCTTTTATTTATAGTATTCATTCAGTTCTTTAAGAGATTGTTTTACCAAAATCTTACCTTATAAACTGCAGAAGTGATTATATTAATTTCATGGCCAAAAAGTTAGCATGAAACTTAAGATAATCCTTTTTCTTTAAATACATATAAAACAGTGTCTTTTAAATTAGCTATCTGCAATTAGGGCAAAGGTCAGCTTAAATGCAGGAAAAGAAAAGAAAAATAGAGTTGATTCTTTTCTCAGCATGAAATTTCAGGTTACTCACCAAGACATTCTAGATATAAAACATCCAAAAAACTGCTGGGCCAAGGACTGGGCTAAACACCTTCTAGTCAAAGGTGTCTCATCTATAATCATGGCACTGTGTAAAAGATTTGTGCTGGAATTTAAAAAAGAAAGCTCATTATAACCAAGAAATACTTATTCAGTAAAAATAAAATAAGTCCACTTTTAAAATAATAGAAGTTAGATATAAAATAGAAAAAAAAATTCTCCCAAAGAGCTTTCTAATCTTTTCAAAATTTAGCTAAAATTCATCATTAGTAACTTTTGCTTAAAGCAAGGAGCACGTTTTCCACTGATGATATCAATAAATTTCTGACAATTTCTAATAATATCAGTAAATTTTTAAATAGCGTCAGAAAAAAATTCATACTAGTTAATCATACAATGATTTGTATAATTTTTTAACAATTTATGAAAACAAGACTAAAACAGGGAAAATATTAATTCTGGATAATAATGAGCCTTTTGAGTTACCTTAAAATTTTTGTCTTGTTTTTCTACATTCTTAAATTTTAAAAACCAACCAAATTTTCTATAAAACCAACCAAATCTAAATTACAGGAAAGTTCAAAACTTCTCTTAAAAGTGACCACAAAATCAGTAACTTTCCTTCATATCATTACCTTAATTTAGGCATTTCAAATGTGAACAGATACCAACCTAAAAATGCTCATGGAAGCATAAGCAGCCACTTCAACATAAGCCTCATCAATGAATACAGTCTTAAAACAGGAATATGGGTATCGACATGTAAGAATTTCTTCATAAAATTCAAAGACTTCATGAAGGTACGATGTGGTATGTTTAAGCAATGGAAGAAGTTGGGGCAAACAAAAATGAGTAACCTGAAAAGAAGCAGCAAGGAGGATCATCTAAATCAAAGAGTTGACTTTAATATCGTAAATTTCCTAAATATCTCAATTATAAATAAATGTTCTCAAAAATTTATTCTTTAATAATTTCAAGACGCTGAAAGAAAATGTTGTGAAATTAGTGATTACTTTTACTAATCACATTTATAAAATATTCATTATACTTAAAAATTAAATTCATGGTGGATTATAAGTCTGTGGAAGGCTTAGACCTACTAAAATATAACTCTGGTTCCAAATTCAATTAAAATTTCTTCTCAAATGTACACATCACAAGAAAGATTTAAATTTCAAAGGCTTATTATAAACCTACCTCTTATTCATAAATATCAAACCAAGTGAATAATGCATGTTAATACTACCTTACTAACAGTTAATGTTAATCATATTATCTGCATATAAAAAATAATTACTGTAGTCCCCCTCTGATATTTCAATCACATATCAAAAGCTGCAGAAAAGCTTAATGGTAGTTAGGATATTTATAAAAAAATGCCTGCAAAAGAAATAGTAACTCTGGTTTTTTTTATAAGGCTACATCTCACTTTGGTCACACAAATATCATAATATGCTATCTCTTATTATGATCTGTGCCAAGTGAATGCCATCAACAGTAACATAGATCACTGACTACAACAACCTTGTAAGGTTTCATGCAGGAGCGTGAAGGTATGGTAATCTTTTTGAGTTCAACAGAAGTTTGACAGGAAACTTTTGGTATAGGAAAAGAGAACATCCCAGAGTTGAAGATGGGAAGAAAATAGGTATGATCAGAGAAATATAAGTAAACTATTTTGAATATAACATATATTAGGGTCAAATTACAGAAGATCTTGAAAGCCATGCTAAAGATTTCTAATTACTGCAGAATTAAAAAGGTAAGGGAAGTTTTTAGTGGATCATCAAAAGTATTCTTCTAATAACATTTAAAAAGAACAGATGCGAGGCTCCCGTAAGAGTGGTGAAAAGCATCTATGCATTATTAATGATCAGAGCCCAAAACTGTATCATGATTAACACTCCCTTTGTACTCAAATAAAAATACTATTCATAAAAAAAGGATTCATTTTTAGACAAACCTACATGACAGCAAATTTACTGCTAATGCAGATAACAACTCATGTATTTGACACAGAGAAAGCCTAAAGTCATAACAAAATAATTCCAAATCATAACAAAATATAACAAAATAATTTTTGACTGTCATTTGCCTTGTTTCTATTCAATAGCTCAGAGTAGAAAGATAAATCTTCTCAAATACAAAATAGGTACTGATCAAACATTGATTTTAAAATTGATCATTTACCAAAGACAATAAAGTTCACTGCCAATCGTGACAAATCTTTAAAAAGAGTCATTGTCAAGACAACATAAGCAAAACCATCACAAAATATCCTGAATCTTTTCCATGAGTGATTTTACAAATCCTGTGAATTTCAGCAAAGTAAATATAAATGGCAAACTGAGGAGCTCACCAAAAGCCTGCTGCCCTCAATTTTTCTTCACATGACTAGAAGAAATGCTGTTGAGATATACATAGTGAAATTATATGTATGTATTTTTTTAAAAAACTTAAGTTGAAGACTAAGAGTTAACAACTAATAAATCGTTTTCTAGTCAGCATAAGTCTCATGCTTGGGGAGGCCTAAAATTACTGTTTGGCCTGTCAACTGATAAATGAATTGTAATAAGATATGTGCTGGGAAGAAACTAGTCTTCACGAGTTTGCTAACCAGATTTCTAACTCTGTCTATTTTCCTCTGTATATGTTGAGTAAGAATAAATCTTGCTCTTAAATTTTGAATTTATAATACTTTAGACTCCAGAGATGAAACCATAGCATTCAAAAACATGCTAAACAAAAAGAGATGACATTAGTAATGAACACAATTAATTACAGAAATCAACCTATACTCTAAATCAAGATATAACTGAAGCACTTTTGAAATGCTAAGCCCCCTGTTGGAAAATAATCTAAAATTTAAATACAACATTTGGAAAGAAATTCATTCAGTAATTCACATCACTAAATCTATCAGATACAGAAACATTTTCTCTCTAGTCATATTCTTGATAGTTAAAAGCTGTCTTTTTAATATTGAGACATAAAAGTGTGTAAGACATTATCTCTGGTTAGAAGAGTTATTAAGAGTGAAGACTTAATATTTCATTAACATCTATCTTTTTAAAAGCAGTAAAAGGACAGGAGGAGAGAAAGAGGGGAGAGCTCTAACTTACCTCATGCATGTATGGATCTACAAGTATTTCAAATGGTCCAATGGCCAAAGAGATATTTGATGCTGCTGTAGGAATGGTAAGCATATAATGGAAAGTTTTCTTCCTCATATCATGGGTATACACTGTCTCCACCAAATCTCCATTAGAAACAGCAACCATTGCAGCATCTACTGTAAATTCTAATTTCCATGTACACAATTCAGAGTATGAATCAACACAAGGGAACCAAAATCTAGAAAAAAGATTGACAGAATAGAAAATGCATTGAGAATGTCCTCTACATTGTTTACCCCACATGTAAGTTCATTTTCTAGAAAATGAACAACAAAAAAAAACACTTCAGCTATTTGGCTACTGAAGCTTTTTACTATAAAACCTGAAAAAAATCTGATAAAATAAAATCTGTTACCAAATACTATTTGGCAACATTAAAAATATATATTACATAGTACCACCAGTTCAAACCCTAAAAAAAGTTAAGCAATTCTTAGTTTCCAATGTTTTAAAAAATAATTTTAACTTGTATATGCACACTAGTCAGTTTTTATGCAGCATTTATTTTCAGAAACTAAAAAAGAATTACTGTAAAAAGTTTTCTAAAAATAATATTCAGAATTTATTCCATTCAATTATAAAACTGTTTTTTTGAAGTATGTAACACGTTGTATAAATTCAAATGAGTGCTGGTAAAAGATATAAAATTTATAGTCAGTTTTCATCAATTCAGGTAAGGTGTTATGGGACAGGGTAAGTACTCAGTATTGAGGCATAAAAGTGTATAAGACATGGCCGGGCGCAGTGGCTCAAGCCTGTAATCCCAGCACTTTGGGAGGCCGAGGCGGGTGGATCATGAGGTCAAGAGATCGAGACCATCTTGGTCAACATGGTGAGACCCCATCTCTACTAAAAATACAAAAAATTAGCTGGGCATTGTGGTGCGTGCCTGTAATCCCAGATACTCAGGAGGCTGAGGCAGGAGAATTGCCTGAACCCAGGAGGCAGAGGTTGTGGTGAGCCGAGATCGCGCCATTGCACTCCAGCCTGGGTCACAAGAGCGAAACTCCGTCTCAAAAAAAAAAAGAAAAAGTGTATAAGACATTACCTCTGGTTTAGAGGAGTTATTATAATAACCTGAGGAGAGCTCAGGTGCAGTGGCTCACATTGTAATCCCAGCACTTTAGGGGGCCAAGGCAAGTGGATCATCTGAGGTCAGGAGTTTGAAACCAGCCTGGGCAATGTGATGAAACCCTGTCTCTACTAAAAATCCAAAATTCACCAGGCATGGTGGCGTGTGCCTGCAGTCCCAGCTACGTGGGAGGCTGAAGCAGGAGGATCACTTGAACCTACAAGGTGGAGGTTGTAGTGAGCCAAGATTGTGCTGCTGTACTCCAGCCTGGGCGACAGGCCGTCCCTACTAAAGTCATGGTGAAACCCCATCTCTACTAAAAATATGTAATTAGCCAAGTGTGGTGGCACACACCTAATGACTCAACTACTCAGGAGGCTAGGCAGGAGAATCACTTAAACCCAGAGGTTTAAGTTGCAGTGAGCCAAGATTGTACCACTCCACTCCAGCCTGGCCAATAGAGTGAGACTGTTTAAAAAAAAAAAATTAGCTGAGTTGAGTAGCAGAATGTGGACTGGGGAAGTAGAGAATGAAAGCAGGTGAAAGGAGGTCTCTGTGATGCCTGCAATATTCTTTGTCTCTAAGTGTAAATTGTTCACTTATGAAAATTCATAGAGCTTTACACTTTGTACAATTTTCTGCATGTATGTTTTACTTCAATATAAAGTTTTTAAAAAAGAAGGAAAATCAAGTGAGATGATTATTTTAGAACAGTAGACATGAAAATGAGAGAGAAGAAGGGAGATTTAAGACTGAGCAGGGGGGAGGGCCAGGCTAGGTGGCTCATGTCTGTAATCCCAGCACTTTGGGAGGCTGAGGTGGGCAGATCACTTGAGGTCAGGAGATAAAGACCAGCCTGGCCAACATGTGAAACCCTGTCTCCACTAAAAATACAAAAAATTAGGCAGGTTTAGTGGTGAATGCCTATAATCCCAGCTACTTGGGAGGCCAAGGCATGAGAATCACTTGAACACAGGAGGCAGACGTCGCAGTAAGCAGAGATAGCACCACTGCTCTCCAACAAAGGTGACAGAGCAAGACTGTCTCAAAAAAAATAAATAATAAAATAAAATAAAAAGAAATTGAGAAGGAATTACTAACAGAAAGTAATCTGAAAGAAGTCTAAATTTGGGAGGAAATAAAACCAGTATTTCTTGTTTTACACTAAATTATGTATTGCTTATAGATAAAAAAATGCGATTTAAAAATTAATTGAAATATTTAAGAATCTGTAATCTACCTTGTAGAATTTTGATACCCACAAGAGAAAACATGAGCACCTCTCTCTGCCATACTTCCCTCTACACTGGGTACCACAAAATGAAGACCTCCTTTGGGCTGATCCAAAGAAAAATTGATGTGTATCTTCAGGACCTTTAACTCTGCAACAAATAAATATACACGTACATTGATATATAAGTAAGTTACAGTGGCCTATATAATAAAGGCAAAGATTTAATGCTGAACACCAAATGGAATTGAGGACTGAGATTTACATGAAAAACCACACTGCTAGCCCCCATTTGGACTTATACCATCTGTCTGCCTATATTAACTCAACAGACTGCTTCTATGGGTATTTCTGCCTCCAATCAATTATAATTATTACTTGTATTTTTTCCCCAAAATATACCTTTGGTTATGCCATATCCTCCTTTCAACATTTCTGACAATGTACAATGCCCAAAGAAAAAAGCCCAAAACTCCCACACTGCACACTTTAGGCCTTCCATATCCAACCCCAAACTTACTGATATAGTTTGGCTGTATGTCTCCACCCAAATCTCATCTTGTAGCTCCCATAATGCCCATGTGGTATGGGAAGGACCCAGTAGGAGGCAACTGAATCATGGGGGCAAGTCTTTCCCATGCTGTTCTCATAATAGTGAAAAGTGTCACAAGATCTAATGGTTTTAAAAACGAAAGTTTCCCTGCACAAGCCCTCTCTCTCTTTGCTGGCCGCTATCCACATAAGACGTGACTTGCTCTTCCCTGCCTTCTCCCAAGACTGTGAGGCCTCCCCAGCCATGTGGAACCGTCATTTGATTAAACCTCTTTTTCTTCCCAGTCTCAGGTATGTCTTTATCCGCAGTATGAAAATGAACTAATACACTTAACTTTTCAAGTTTTTTCTCCTATTACATTCTTCCACAGAATGAACCCTAGGTGACTTTGGGGAGTACAAGGATGAGAGGTAGAGGAGGAGACACTACCACTACTTGAGAATTTGCCTTACTATTATGGTTTTTATTATGCTTGATTTCTTCATTATAAACATGTGCTGCTTTTGCAAGATTTTAATTTCCCTTCAAGCATTACAATCATATGGATCATCTCCAAACCCTAAACATGCAATGATGACTTCCATGTCTGTCCCCGAAATCAGGTTAAGTCCCTCCACAAATCCTATCCCACCCCTAAACCCCCAATAGAAAGCAAAAAAAAAAAAACAAAACAAGAAGTCTTATACTTATCTTAATTTTTATAAGGTTAAATAAATAGGCAAGGCAGAAGCTAATATACAATACTATAATGGCTAAAACTTTATTACAAGACAAAAAGTTTTAAAGTCTGCAGAATGAGTATCAGAAATCCTATTTTTTAGCTTTAACTCCACCAATACTTTGCTAAACGAACTTCAGCAGGTTACTTACTCATTAGACTTCAGTTTACTCTTCTGTAAAAAGCAGCCATTGTACCAGATTGTTCAGGATCTTTCCTGCTACAAAATGCTGTAATTCTAAACTAATTTGATATTGTGCAGGTTCTCAAATCTTGACAAATTGTTCTATCTATATGATTTTTCAAAAATATTTTTCATGGCCAGGCATGGTGCCTCACACCTGTAATCCCAGCACTTTGGGAGGCCAAGGCAGGCAGATCACTTGAGGTAAGGAGTTTGAGACCAGCCTGGCCAATATGGTGAAACCCCATCCCTACTAAATATACAAAAATTAGCTGGGCGTGGTGGTAGGCGCCTGTAACCCCAGCTACTAGGGAGGCTGCAACAGGAAAATCACTTGAACCCAGGAGGCGGAGGTTGCAGTAAGCTGACATTGTGCCATTGCACTCCAGCCTGAGTGACAAAAGCGAAACTCCATCTCAAAGGAAAAAAAAAAGTTTGTTTTTTCCTTTAAAAAACAATGGTGAAATAAATTGCTTTCTGCACAGCCCTAAACTGATATTATCCTGTTAGCCAGTGATCCTTAATAAGAAAAAGAGCTTCCAACCCATTCTGTATATTTCAACTGGTTAATTTACATTAGGTTGTTTTTTTTTCTGAGACAGTCTCTCACTCTATTGCCCAGGTTGGAGTGCAGGGGTGCACTATGGGCTCACTGCAACCTCCACCTCCCGAGTTCAAGCGATTCTCCTGTCTCAGCCTCCTGAGCAGCTGAGATTACAGGTGCCCGCCACCATGTCTGGCTAATTTTTGTATTTTTAGTAGACATGGGGTTTCGCCATGTTGGCCAGGCTGGTCTTTAACTACTGATCTCAGGTGATCTGCCCGCCACAGCCTCCCAAAGTGGTGGGATTACAGGCATGAGCCACTGCGCCTGGCCAGCATCATTAGTTTTCATGTAAAATTCTCTAGACCCTGAATCTAACATGATTTTAGTGTGCAGTCAATAGTTCTTGGTGCTTTACCATCGACGTGTTTCCATAGCTCTGATGGAACCTTAATGCAAAGTTCTCCATTTCCAGCGTCAGGGTCCACAGCACTAACTGCAGCTGCATAAGCATTGGAAAAATAATTGAGGTTTCTCCTGGGGGAAAAAAAAGAGCCAACTTTTAATAATAAGCCATATATCTTATCAAACATTTTCTTTTTTCTTTTTTTTTTTTTTTTTTTGAGATGGAGTCTCACTCTTGTCACCCAGGCCAGAGTGAAGTGGCACTATCTTGACTCACTGCAACTGCCAGGTTGCAAGCATTCCCGGGTTCAAGCATTCTTGTGCCTCAGCTTCCTGAGTAGCTGGGATTACAGGCACCCACCACCACACCTGGCTAATTTTCATATTTTTAGTAGAGATGGTGTTTTGTCATGTTGGTCAGGTTGGTTTTGAGCTCCTAACCTCTAGTAATCAACCCGCCTTGGCCTGCCAAAGTGCTAGGATTACAGGCATGAACCATCACACCTGGCCTCTGAGCATTTTCTTAAATATAATTTGATACCAACTGTTGGTAAGCATTTTATCTTCTTACATAATTCCTAAGAAGACTCTTTAGCCAAGTAATGGTTTTTTCTACTCACCATGTTAAAAACTATTAAACTGTAAATACAAATGGAATATACATTCTACTCACCAAGTTAAATGGTTATTATTATGACTATTACATTCTTCATTAATTTTGGAATGCCAAAGCCACAATACTTTTTTTGATACAAAAGTAAAGAATATGCAAAGAATTGATTATTCTTTATCAATCTGGCAAAAATTAGAATGGATTCAACAAGCTTTGTTATTTGACAAAGATTAAGATGTCTGAAACAAATTAGGATGGGAATCAATTCCTCAAAATGTAATACCACTCACCTCCACCCACTAGTGCATCACTAGGGAGGCTTAACGAAGCAGAGAATTTTCAGAAGGCTCACTACTATATTCACTATGTCAGGAGAGACTACTAAATATTTGTTGCATAGTTATCTGACCTTATTTCCCATTTGATGAAAACAATACGATGAAGTCTTACGGAAATATGAAAGTGTTGTTCTCAATTGGTTTTTTAATTGTATTCCATAAAAGCAACTTATATGTGTATTACACACATATTACATTTTCTCACTGAAATTAGTTTAAAAAAGGTAAGAAACAAAAGACAGGAAGAAGATAAGGAATGGGAAGGGTAAGAATACAAGATGTACAGACACTGTCTTCTGTGACTGACAAACAGGCATCTTATCCTATTATTAAATGCAGAGTTCTAGGCTGGATAGGGTGAGTATTTTGGCTTTCAGGCAAGGCAATGGGTCCCTTATCTGCTCTTTAACAGGTGACCTTTCCATTTATTAGTAGTGTATACTAACTACCCCAAAGGTAGATGTTTTTGCTTTTGTTTTCTGGGAGGAAAGGGATGCAGATAATTTTGTGATAAGTGTTTTACGTCAATTCTACAAATGTAGCTTTAAAAGCAATGTAATTTCAACAACTCACCTTTGTGAAATGGCAAGTTATAGGAGTAAATCAGGGATTCACTGAATTTTTCCAATCCCACACACATTTGTGTATTACCTCCCTAAATGTGATTTTAAACCAGCCGGGCGTGGTGGCTCATGCCTGCAATCCCAGCACTTTGGGAGGCTGAGGTGGGTGGATCACCTGAGGTCAGGAGTTTGAGACCAGCCTGATCAATATGGTGAAACCCCATCTTTAAATAAATAAATAACTAATTAAAAAAAGGATTTAAACCAAAGATTACTGGGACCATAAATATGTCTAAAAATAAGCCTCCCTTCTAAACCTTTGCAATTCCTTATGGCAGTGGTTCTCAAACCTCAGTCTGTATCAGAATCACTTGGCAAGCTTGTTAAAACACAATCTGTAGGACCCTATCCCCAGTTTCTAAATCAATAGGTCTGGGGTATTGCTTGAGAACTGGCCGATCTAGCAAGTTCCCAGTTGACAGTGATGCTTGTCTGGGAATCACACTTTGAGAACTGCTACACCTTAAGGCAATATTATACATCTAGACTAGTTAAAATATCATTTTGACTAAAAAGTTTATGATAAAGTTTTGACATCCTACCCAAAACACAAAGAATCACAGAAATGATACAACCCAATGTTATCAAAGCTTTGAAAAGCAAGTGCCTGCAAATGTACTGATTTATACTAATTTAAATACCAGGGCACAATCAGGTAAAACACTGAAAAGAGACATCAGAAATGATAAGTAATAATCCAAAGGGAAAAAAATTTGTATGTGCCAAAACATTCACTCAGCTACAAAATGCCCAACAACTTGAGAATAATTATACAAATTACAACAGACTGAACAACTGGAGAATAATTATACAAATTATAATAGACTGAACAAATGGAGTATTATATAGCCATAAAGATGACCAAAAAATGAAGCACACGCACGTGCGTGCACACACACACACACACACACACAGAGAAAACAGAAACAAAGTATGAAAGAAAATAGAACATAAAATGGATAGCAGCAATATGTTTAATGATAAAAATTAGAAGTAACCTCAATAGATGTAATATTTATTTAAGGTGAATAAATGAGCTATTTTTGACATAATATTTTTACAATATAGCAATCAAAATATTTCACAGAATATTTTAAAGTAGCTTCTGGTCTACAGATTACAGTAACCATCTAACCCACTGAAAATTCTTTCAATATTTATGAAGTAAATAGTTAAGAAAAACATTAAAAGCAAAAAAAAATCACTAAGATAATCTAATTAAAGTTCCTAGATAATCCTTCCTTAAAATTTTAACATGAAGAAGGGAAACTTAGAACTATGTTGGGCACAGCTAGCAAAATCACTTGAACCAAATGTACAGAGTGGTAAAACAGGTATTTTAATTAGAAAAAAAGATTGGGATTCAAAGCCTAGTAACAATCTAAAAAAAAAAATCTTTTGAGAAAAACTAATGCGATCATGAAAAATATTTTTTTAAAACTGTTAAAAATAATAACTTTTAAAGTGTATAACTTACTGTTTTGATTCACTGTGACAAACTTCCAAGGTTGGATCATTATAAATAAAAGCAGCCTCTAAGTCATTGATCCTTACTCGGTATATTCTACACTGTTTGCTGTTCAACTTGATTCTATTCAAGTTTGCAACTGTGGGAAATATGGTCAGTTCCACAAATCCCTGTAAAGATAGAGAGAAACAACTTCATTACAAAGACTGGTATGTTTCAGAATATAGTTTTTATTTTTACCACTTACATACACACTGCACTCCAGAGAGAAAATCCCAAACAGCTATACACATACATATGTTTTCCAAGTATTTTAATTTCAAACATAATTGTCCTAGTGACTGAATGGGCGTGAGTTATGTATACTTTATCATCCCGGTGGTTCATATTCACTATCAGTGTAAATTAGGCAGTCAGAAAAAAGTAAAAGGCTTACTACTCTAAAAAACCAGAATTTCTAAGCAGACTAGGACTAAAAAGGGAGGAAGAAAAAATGACAGCAGAAAGAGAATTAAAACCAGAAGACTGATGAGGGAAAGAACATGGAAGAAAAAAATGGGGTAAAAAATTATACCACTGAAGCTAACCAGTGTGAGTTTCTGCTTATGAGGTGGCAAGCGCTACAAAAGATATCAAGGCAAGTAGGGAAAATCTGCTGCTATATCCAGATCCATGTTCTACCATGTTAGCTGTATGGTATGCAATCTATCTGTATCCGACACATGAAAACCAGTTACATACAGACTTTCCTCTTGTATTGAATCAATGGGAAAGATGAATAGATGAATCATGGAATGTATGTCCAGTGTGATTTTAATATCCTGGGCTGAAAACTGATGTACTCAAAAATAAAACAAGGGAGGGTATAAACAGCAACATTTCAGGGGCTCCAAAGTGAACAGAAAACATTCAGAGGCTGTAACAGAAATATCTAAGCCAAAATTCAGATAGTAACCATAGAGAACTACATTATAATGGCTGCTACTGGCCAGGCACAGTGGCTCATCTGAGGTCAGGAGTTCAAGACCAGCCTGGCCAACATGGTGAAACCCCATCTTGTAAAAAAAAAAAAAAAAAAAAAGTTTAAAAATGGCTGCTACCAGGTACCAGACATTGCACGAGATACTTTCCTATGTTCCCTCTAATCCTCATACCAACTCTAAGAGACAAGTACTACTTTATACTTTTTACAGAGAAGCTATAAATACTACTGTAAAGTATTTTTTAAAAAGAACTTTTTACAGATAACAAAGGTAAAAAAAAAATTAGGTCACTAAGTAGAGAACTGAGATTCAAACACCATCTAAATGATTCCAAATGATTCTCACTATGCCATAATGCCTCTGGGTAGAAAGGTTTTAAATAATATGCAGTAATTGTTTTTAGGTAACATTTAGCCCAACTGCCTCAAGAAAGCCTAGAGATTCTGTAGCCCCTTTGTTCTCAATTCCCAAGTAAGAAGAGAGCCATACACCCTTAAATTAGAACAATCTGCACAGATCTGTGAGTCGGAAATGCAGAAAAACAGAAGCACAAATGCCAAAATACAGTTGATAAAGATTCTGTGTTTAAAGGTGCAAACTGAGCAGCTGTAGGAAGAATAACCAGAATCCCTTTAATTAGCATATCTGTCATCCAGAGACCATTCTAAATTTAAATGAGCTTAGATCAGCTGAAAGATAAGAATTAGAACCAAGACAACTACAAAAGATTAAAGAAAGTGCTGTCAACAGCTACTTGGGTGGGACATAAGAACAACATTTGGCTTTCTAAACTCTGGTAACAATGATAGAATGAAGGGATGCATTTCATAAAGATAGGAAAAGCCCAGTCTCCTTGCACCATCAAGTCTCTAACACCACCTAGGACTCTAACCTACACCTGTGAAACATTCAGACCCATTAACCTCTACAGGTCTTCAGTCTCTGCCACCCTTAGCCACTGGTCATCTGCAAGGCCCTCAGGTCATCTAGCCTCTCACTCCTTGCTGCTTGCTCTCTCCCCACCACTTCACAGATAACCATCCTCCTGGAGCCCACATTCCATTTTCAACATTTCCCCTGTACCTTTCAACCTTTTCTAAAACTCCCTCTCTATTCTCTAGCCTTAAATGAAATGGCTCCTGAATTCTCCTAGACAAGAAGCTACTTACTCTCCCATTCACTATAAATGAGGGTAACAGAAAACAGGCATTTTCCTAGTTTCCACTACTGCTTCTGGGCGATTTATAGATTTTAATTTAATGTACACTATAAGGGCAAGGGCAGCATAGTGTCACAGTTAAAAGCAGGTGTTCTGGAGGTAAACTCACTGTATTCAAATCCTAGCTCTATCACTTAGTAATTGTATGATTTTTGAGCTAGTGACCCCAGCTCACTGTGCCTCAGTTTTCTTATAAAAAATAATGACACTACTGGCTTTTTAGTGTTATTATGACAACTGAACAGCCAGGCATGGCTAAAGTGGAAGGATTGCTTAAACCTGGGAGGTTGAGGCTGCAGTGAGTTGTGACTGTGACACTGCATTCCAGTCTGGGTGACAGCAAGATCGCATCTCAAAACAAAACAAAAACAACTGAACAATTTAATACATGGAGTGTACTTAAAATTGTAGCTAGCACCTAGTATACGCTTAATAAATATTTTTGTTATTCTTTTCTGCTTATCGTTTATGTTCATGCTAGACAGGTACACCATCCTCTATGCTTCTTATCTATACAACTCCCCAACATTTGCTGAAGGCTCATACTCTTGCTTTTTTTTTCCTTTTTCAGAGACAGGGTCTTGCTCCGTCACCCAGGCTAGAATGCAGTGTAGCAATCATGGCTTACTGCAGCTTCAACCACCCAGGCTCAAGTGATCCTCTCACCTCAGCCTCCACGCTCAAGGGATCCGCCCGCCTCAGCATCCAGAGTAGCTGGGGACTACAGGCATGCACTACCATGCCTGGTTAATTAAAAACTTTTTTTCAATAGAGATGGGTCTTATTATGTTCCCCAGGCTGGTCTGGAACTTCTGGCCTCAAGTGATCCTCCTATCTCGGCCTCCTAGAGCACTAGAATTACAGGCATAAACCACTGCACCTGGCCACATACTCTTTTGTAACATGTCTGCCATCACTCTAAGTGACTTGAATATAGATGTGTCTTTTCCATCCAATAAGACTGCCTCAAAGTTCCTTGACCTCAATTTCTACAATCTTCACTTCCATCCAAGAAGAATCAAGATCACACTCTGAAAAGCACTTCATCACTGCTTGCAACTGCTCCGATGAACTCAACTGTTCACAACGTCTCTCCTGCCACTCTTCTCATTACTTCTCTCCCAGTCCTCCTGCCCAACTGCCTGAAATCCTCCTGTCCTTGACTTTTTCCAGCTTCTCACCATAATCTTCTTGGCACTCCTGAGGCTACTTTTGTCCCTTCACCCTAAATCCTTAAATTCAACCACTCCTCTGTCAACTACAAATTCTCTTGCCCCTGTTTCACGTACCCATCTTTCCTTCTGTTTAAGAATGATATATCCACCAGGCACAGTGGCTCACGCCTGTAATCCCAGCACTTTGAAAGGCCAAGGCGGGTGGATCAAGAGGTCAGGAGATCAAGACCACCTGACCAACATAATGAAACCCCGTCTCCACTAAAAGACAAAAATTAGCTGGGCGTGGTGGTGCGTGCCTGTAGTCCCAGCTACTTGGGAGGCTGAGGCAGAAGAATTGCTTGAACCCAGGAGGCAGAGATTGCAGTGAGCCAAAATCGCACCACTGCACTTCAGCCTGGCACCTGGCGACAGAATGACACTCTGTCTTAAAAAAAAAAAAAAAAGAATGATATATCCTATGGTTCTTTAGAGGCTACTCCCAACAGTATCATCAGAAACATCACTGTATTTCTCTCTCCTCAATTACAATCTTTCCTATCTGTAAAATTTTTTCCTGTACCTACAGACATGATCAAGATCCAAGGTTTTAAAAGCCTGTAGATCTACGCTACCCTCAAATGAATTTTTCTTTTTCCCATACCTTCCAAACAGAAATTCTTGTAGAGTATGTTCACTGTTCCAACTTCCTCTTCAGTTCACTACGCCTTATGCAGTCGTCAGTCCACTGAAATTACCTGATATGGTTTTTGTGTCCCCACCCAAATCTCATCTTGAATTCCCATATGTTGTGGGAGAGACTCGGTGGGAGGTAAATGAATCATGGGGGCAAGTCTTTCCCGTGCTGTTCTCATAAAGTGAGTAAGTCTCATGAGATCTGATGGTTCTAAAAATTGGAATTTTTCTGCACAAACTCTTTGCCTGCTCCCTTCCAGTTAAGTTGTGACTTGCTCCTCCTTGGCTTCTGCCATCATTGTGAGGCTTCCCCAGCCATGTGGTACTGTAAGATCTCCATTAAACCTCTTTGTTTAATGGAGGTATGTCTTGATCAGCAGTGTGAAAATGGACTAATACAGTAAACTGGTACCAGTAGAGTGTGGTGCTGCTGAAAAGCTACCTGTGTGGAAGCAACTATAGAACTGGGTAACAGGCAGAGGGTGGAACAGTTTGGAGGGCTCAGAAGACAGGAAAATGTAGGACAGTTTGGAACTTCCTAGAGGCTTGTTGAATGGCTTTGACCAAAATGCTGATAAGTGATATGAAAAGTAAGGTCCAGGCTGAGGTGGGTCTCAGACGGAGATGAGGATTTGCTGGGAACTAAAGCAAAGGTGACTCTTGTTATGTTTTAGCACAGAGATTGGTGGCATTTTGCCCCACCTAGAGATCTGTGGAACTGTGAACTTGGGTATCCAGAGAAGAAATTTCTAAGCAGCAAAGCATTTAAGAGATGACTTGGGTGCTGTTAAAGGCATTCAGTTTTATAAGGGAAGTAGAGCATAAAAGTTTGGAAAATTTGCAGCCTGACAATGAGATAGAAAAAAAAATCCCACTTTCTGAGAAGAAATCCAGGCTGGCTATAGAAATTTGCAAAAGTAACAAGGAGCTGAATGTTAATCCCCAAGAAAATGGGAAAAATGTCTCCAGGGCATGTCAGAGGCCTTCACAGCAGCCCTTCCCATCATAGGCCTGGAAGCCTAGGAGGAAAAAGTGTTTTAGTGGGCCAGGCCCAGAGTCCTCATGCTGTGTGTAGCCTAGGGACTTGGTGCCCTACATCCTAGCCGCTCCAGCCAGGG